GTTAGTGCTTCTTATCCCGTCGTTAGTGCTCCATCCCTTAAATTGTATTTGAATTTCCTACAGGGGGTTCTAAGGACATGCTAATTTAGATTTCGAATTTTGGGTCCAAAAATCTTTTATTCGTTTATGCTTCGTTAGTCCTTCAGTGTGTTATTCATCCGGTCGTTAGTGCTCTACTCCTTCAAAAGTTATTGGCATATCGTACGGGGGGGGGGGGGGTACTAGTGACGTACTAATTCGAGTCCAGTCCCCAAAGGTTTGTCTGAAACTCTTCAACACATTGAGGTTAAAATGATCCTTTGATGCATTGCAGTTATATATCATAGTTTTGGGATTAAATTACTTAAATCTGGGTTTTATAAATTATGTAAAAAAGAATGTTATTAAAATTTCATATTTATGCTAATTTCTGCCAAAAGCTTTAATAGATATAACTAAATAACTAATAAGTATATAACTTTAATTTGTCCATGCGTATATGATTTACCGATATTTAAAAATATCGTAGACAGCTGATCGATAAAACTGAGTATCTAATTTTAAAAATTCTCAAAAGACTACGTAAGTACCGGTACCTATCTATATGTACCTATAATATACCTATACCCCTTACCAAAACACTACCTCCTACGAATTTTATAATTTTTTTGTTGCAATTATTTAATAACTATAGGTATAATGTGTATGATTTATGTATGATAGGTGTTGATGTATGCTTGTTTGAAAAAATATGATTTTAAAATAAAATCGTTCGCGTTATTTGTGAATATTTAAAAGTTATTTGTTAGGTATTTAACCAATAATCAATATAGATCTACGATTCTACGACCTAATACTATAAATGTTATTGCGATACAGAACCAAGATAGGTAACTTTTATCCATTCTATGAGTTCTAGAACGCCAACCCCTGGATTATTCTAACATTAGGTGAAATAATATTAATGATACCATTGAGTATAATATATATTGTTGTACAATATAGGTACGTATACTCAATGATGATAGGTATAATGGTATAAATATTTTTTTTTAAGTCCGGGAACAAATTTAATATTTTTTACGTAACTACCTATTTAGTGTATGATAATATATTATATATCTACCCAAAATATTTATGTTTGCCTATAACAAATATCTATACCTACATCATTGCAGTTAATGATTATAAATTAGATAGGGAGGTATAGATATATAAAGTATAAAACCTGTATAAAAATCGATTTAAGAAATAATAATCGTGATTTAAAATAGCTAAAAAAACATTTGTATGTTCACAGTCTATTTTTTTTTCACCACGGTAATTTCACAACGTTCAAGGCAGGATGTCCCGCTTGAACACAATTATTTTACCGCGGTGAAAATCACGGGGAGATTTCACACTCGTTGTCCACCTATTCGCCGCTCACACAAAAATATTTACCTTATAGCATTTTACGGGGAGATTTCACACTCGTTGTCCACCTATTCGCGCCTCACACAAAAATATTTACCGTATAGCATTTTACAGGGAGATTTCACAAATTTTGAATAATTTAAGTAAAAAAACTTGTGTAAATATATTTAAGAATTCGTTTATATCAATAAAAAAATCTATTATTACATAATTTGTGTTCTGTACTTTAAATAATTATTTCATTTTAATAATAAGGTTTGTTGGGGAAAAAACCATTTAGTGTGTACACGGTAAATATTTTTGAGTAAGCGGCAAAACCGATTTTGAGTGTGCAAACTCCCTGTAACTTTAAAATATGGTAAATATTTTTCTGAAACGAAGAATTCGTGGACAAAAATTGTGAAATCTCCCTGTAAAATGCTATACGGTAAATATTTTTATCTGAGTCGCGAATAGGTGGACAACGAGTGTGAAATCTCCCCGTGATTTTCACCGCGGTAAAATAATTGTGTTCAACCGGGACATCCTGCATTGAACGTTGTGAAATTACCGTGGTGAAAAAAAAATAGACTGTGAACATACAAAGGTTTTTTAGCTATTTTAAATCACGATTATTATTTCTTAAATCAATTTTTATACAGGTTTTATACTTAATACATCTATACCTTCCTATCTAATTTATAATCATTAACTGCAATGATGTAGGTATAGGTAGTTGTTATAGGCAAACATAAATATTTTGGGTAGATATATATATTGTCGTATATGCCACGCAAAGGCTTGACGTATATAACAGATATGTTTCGGTTTCCGATTCTCTAACCGTCGAACGAGTAAATTATCGACACCTGCTGTATGAGTTTAATTTAATTTCTCCTTTTGGTGACCACGATAACGAGTACTGCGCAAAAGGATAATTAAATAAAAGTCCAGCAGGATTTACACTATACAACTCAAAGGTTATTTTACTCTCGAACAACTGACCACGATAACGAGTACTGGATGTTCGAGGGTGAGGTATCTTTTACCTAGACAAAGTCTTACTCTTTCTCGACTGACCACGATAACGAGTACTGGACGAGAAAGTAAGTACCATAGTGTCTTACTACCTGTTTTTAAAAGTGTTATTCACCACAACGTCTCTGTATCAACTCGTAAGATAAAATATTCTAAAAAAAGGCGTAAAGAAAAACAGTGACACTTGGTTTTTAAAAAAAAGAATTAAATATAATAAAATATATCAAAAACAAATAATAAAAAGAAACGTAAAAATACTGCGGCTCGTTGGCTACTACAATAATCGAAACAAACAAAAGAACAGCCCCGCTTCCGTCGCAGACGTCGCCTAAGTAGTCGTGGCAATTTTGCTGACTCGGTTTGATTGACTTTCTGCTTCGTATGTTATTTTAATATTTTATAATTTCGTTATATATACAACAATATTATCATACATTAAATAGGTAGGTACGTAAAAAATATTAAATTTTCTCCCGGACTTAAAAAAAATATATCTATACTCTTATACCTATCATCATTGTCAGTGCCGGCGCTGGGTATTGCAGGGCCCTGGACATAGGTAATAGAGGGCAAAATTCTAGCTTTTTTTAAATTAATGCTATTTTTATTTGAATTTTAAACATTAAAAATAATAATATCAGATTATTCATATCCTTTTTTTTTTTTTATTAAAATGTATTAACAAAAAATTATTTACAAATAATAAAATAATATACATGTGTTGAAAATTATAATTTAATAAATTCGTGGGGGACTTATTATTTTATTAATTTATATTTATTTTAATAATCACAAAACATCAATTAAAAATAAATGAAATCATCAAAATGTTTGAATGATATAATAAATTGTTTAATATCTAAGTACGCGGTGGTAGACAATAAAATATGTTAAAACTAATCCTGATACACTAGATACGCAAGCAGTAGGTAAATATTATTATTTAATACTGCTATACTGTATCTAAACTGAATTGTAATAATAATTTCATAAAATGAAAACTTACTTTGGAACGGATAAAGCACTAACGACGGGATGAGAAGCACTAACGTGCACTAACGAAGCACAAACGAATGAAATTTGTTTGGGCCCGAAATTCGAAATGGGGGGTGCAGGCATGTCTCCAGCACCCCCCTGTACGAAATGCGAATAACTTTTAATCGGATAAAGCACTAACGACGGGATAAAAAGCACTAACGTGCACTAACGAAGCACAAACGATCGCCCTGGGTTTGGGCCCGAAATTCAAAATGGGGGGTGCAGGCATGTCTCCAGCACCCCCTGAACGAAATGCGAATAACTTTGGATCGGATAAAGCACTAACGACGGGATAAAAAGCACTAACGTGCACTAACGAAGCACAAACGATCGCCCCGGGTTTGGACCCAAAAATCGCAATGGGGGTGCCGGGGACATGGACCTCTGTTCTAGAACTATATCATTTTTTTTTATTTTTCACCCCTATATTTATTAGGTAAACCACTATCAACTTTTGATTTTCAAATGACAACCTATACATACAATTTCATAAACTAATAAAGCTGTTTTTTTAATGAATTTTCACGTTTAAATTTTAATTTTTCGTTAATCCGTTGACGAGATATAGCCTCTAAAAGTTGGATGGTTTTGGGTGGTGTTTGTGTGTAAATGTGTTAAAATAAATACCAGAAGTAATAAGTACCTAATAATAATATTTATCTTTTATAAAGACCAGAAGTCATAAACTCATACGTAATAAATTCGATATCGTTCAACAATTCGACCCAAAGGTCGAATATTTAATAGTTATTAGTTGATAGCACGGACTAAGATATCTAAGTCCGTCGTGGTTGATAGTCATGTTTATTTTGAGTAGGTACCTACCACGGATTAAGATCTTAGTCCGTGGTACCTACTATAAATTATCAGATGTCACATGATAATGCATGATAACGTAAATGGTGATTAAAGTATTGAACAAAATTGACCAGCTGTTAAGAAAATATACTTTTATTTAAATAAGGAGTAAAGATGATAATATCTATACTCCTTGAATAATAATATTTATTTAGTGACTTGCTGAGGCATATTATCTAATATCTATTTTCTATAATATTTAAAATGATCCGTTAGCTAATCAAGCGTTGTCATTTCATTTGTTTCCCTTTTTCCATAAAGTTCTACAATATTAGTTATTTTTCAAAAATAGGCTTATACAATAATTTAATGTGTGGTTACTTCAGTGGCCTTTGATTATTGAGACTATAGGGTTTCATGTATGTAACAATGTAGGTTGTAACCTTTCACAATATAATTTGAGTGAAGTGAATGTATAAAGAAAATCAGATAGTATGTGTGTAACTCAGTTGATCATTTTATGCAGACTACCTTCTTCCAAATGATGTTTACAGTTTTATGGGTAAGTAAACTGTTTAACTCAAGTATTAAGTAGGCATTATAAAATATATGTATTATAGAATTATAATAAATTTTCTTTTTATTTTAGTTGAATGTAATGGACAACAATGAAGTATAAGTACCTATATTAACAAAAATAGGTACCTACTAAAATAAATTAAAATAACAACACAATAATCAATTATAGATAACTATTGATATTTTAATAAATGTTCAAAATGATTACCATCCATATCCAAACAAAGAGATAACCGTTTAGTCACTTCACTAGTTGTAGCTTTTTTTAATACTGATGTAGATATTTTTTTACTTATTTCAACAATCCTATTTTTCAAATCATTGATATTATTTGACTCCTCTTTATAAACTTCGCCTTTTAAAAATCCCCAAAAATAAAAGTCGAGAACATTCATATCTGGAGAACGTGGTGGCCAAAGAATTGTTGAGCCTTGAGTTCCTATCCATTTACCACTAAAAATATCATCTAATAAAGCACGTACAGCTAACATATTATGAGCTGGTGCACCATCATGTTGCCAAATCATATTAAGGCGTTGATCTAATGAAATATCTTCAATTAACAATGGCAGTTCGTTTTTTAAAAAATTAAGATAACTGTTTCCATTTAAATTATTTTCAAAAAAATACGGACCTATCAATCTATCATTAATTATTCCACACCATACATTTATACCCAGTGGCGCCGAACTACTTTTTAGTAGGTGGTGCAAACACAAATTTTAACCACCCACCCACCCCTACCTAGACACCCACAAAAATTTTATTTTCAATTAGGTTCAAAGTCAACATTTCCAATAAAACTTTAATAAAATATTGTTTTATACATAAATCAATACATTTATGATCTATCTATAAAATACATGTATATTATGTAGGTATATAATTAATTTTTACATTTTAAGTTTTAACCAATAAGTTTTTTGCTTAGTACTGAACTACATTTTGCAAATACATCAACCACTTCATTATTATCTATGAGCACATCGGACTCACATGATATTATTAACAATGACTCTAGACGATCTTGTTTGATAGTGCTCCTTAACCGATTTTTGATAATTTTTAATTTTGAAAAAGTTCTTTCAGTGGTTACACTACATACTGGTAATGTACAAGCAATACGAAGGGCCATGAATAATGTAGGGAATACATTATGAAGCCCAGCTGAGTAGCATATTTGAAGTAATGTTAATAAGCTTCCTGTATTTTTAACATCTTGTTGTGTCGACAATTATAGTCAATAACTCAATACGACATATTATTATGTTCGTATAGTTAATAATAACCATAGACCTTATACTAATAGCAGTGCCGTAAAAACCGGGTGTGCAAAGTGTGCACCGCACACAGGCCTCGGGCCTTATAATATATCGAAGGGCCTCAAAAGATCTAAAGACTATTTTTTAAAACAAATATTACTATACATTTTAAAGTAGGCACTCTCACCACTACAAACATTTTTTGTCAATTTAATACAGAATAATTTATTGAGTTGACAAAATTATATTATCAAATCAATTGTCTTTATTATATTTTAACGACACACTTCGGATGTTTAAGCAACCCTCATCCCTTTCCATGATCAAATCTCATGTAGTCTATCATCTGCTTCATCACCATTCCCCAACTATATATTGTGGTCGCTACATGAGAAATCGAGTGAATATCCAATGTTGTAAAAATTTGAATTTCAAACACTCATAAAAATTTAATTTGACTTTCTTATAGACATTTTTTTTTTGATAAAGGTAGATAATCTTATAAGGAATCTTGTATTACATTTTCAAATCTTAGATTTAAAAAGAAAAATTTTTACGAATTCTTAACACAAAATAATTTGCTAATTTTCGTGATTTTTCCATATTTTGTCAATTTTTGAACTTTAAATGCTTATAAAAAAAAATTGTGACTAAGGATTTTTAATATTTTTCATCTGCCTTTGAAACAATATACTAGGAGCCTTCTATTAAATTTTCAAGCTTTCGCAACCAACAAATAAAATTTTATTGATATTTTTAGAAAAAAAACTAAAAAAAAATGGAAAATGAAGACGTCCCTACTCCCTAAACGGTTCAAAATAAATCAAAATATTTTGAAAATGTTATCGTGTATATAAAATGCAAATATAAATAACCAGTGAAAATGTCATGTATATACGTTCATTTGTTTTAGAGTTACACCAAAAACCAAAATCGATTTTTTGCGTAAAAATTCCAGTTTTTCCTTAATTTTTATGTTGTTTTTCCCGGCGCTTGTGAAAACTACTGGGAAACTTTTACTTTTGACCCCCCAAAGTACCAACAAGATTCACTTTCCTATCAGAAAAGCTACTGTTGAAGAAAATCCAAGCACTTTTACTGTCCTAAAACGTGATGACAGACACAAAAAAAAAAAAAAAAAAGGTGGGTAAGTTTATGTCGCTCTGCTGTACAGTAGGTTACAAGTGGGTCACTGTATAATGGATGCTTTTAAATTTGAATTCAATGATACAATATCATTGTATAAGAAAAACGATTCTGAGCGAAGACGGTATGTCAGTCTAGGCTTAAGACAAATATAACATATCTATGGTATTAAAAAAAAAATTGACCTATAATAAATTCCAAATTAATCATATCACATTATCACAATATCCATTAGGTACTTATAACACGTTATACATCAACATCAATAACAAACCCTGATACTATCATAGATATATAATAGTACACTTTAGAAGTTTCAAGTAGGTACCCACGAATAATATTATATAATCACAACAAAATAACGAAAATACGTATGCTAGGTTTTTTAATATGTAATTTCGTCCAAATTTGAACATAAAATGACTATAAAAATAAACTGTGATTGTATATTTTTAGATTTTTCGGTAAGAGAATTAACTACTTACGTGGAATCTTGTTTTAAATTTTCAATCCTTAGCTATAAAAACTGAACATTTTATAATTTATTAATTACGATGATTAATAATTTTCGAGATTTTGAAAAATTCTGTCAAAATTCGATGTTTAAATGCTTATAAAAAAAATTGTGCCTATGTATTTTTAATATTTTTCTACTGATATTGTAACAATATATCAGGAGCCTTGTATTAAATTTTTACACTTTTTGGCCCAACAGATAAAACTTTATTGATATTCATAGAAAAAAAAACTAAAAAAATTGAAAAATGAAAATGTCCGTAAACAGCTCAAAAAGAGTCAAAATATTTTCAAAATCGTATGGTGTATAGGAAATGCTAATATAAATATTCAGTGAAATTTTCATGTATCTACAGTTATTCGTTTTTGAATAACAACAAAATAAGGAAATCGCTACATGAGAAATCGAGTGAATAACCAATGTTGTAAAAATTTGAATTTCAAACGCTCATAAAAATTTAATTTAACTGTCCGGTAGAGATTTTCTTATTGATACAGGTAGACAAACTTATGAGTAATCTTGTATTACATTTTCAAATCTTAGATTTAAAAGGAAAAATTTTTACGAATTCTTAACTCAAAATAATTTGCTAATTTTCGTGATTTTTCCATATTTTGTCAATTTTTGAACTTTAAATGCTTATAAAAAAAATTGTGACTAAGGATTTTTAATATTTTTCATCTGCCTTTGAAACAATATATTAGGAGCCTTCTATTAAATTTTCAAGCTTTCGCAAACAACAAATAAAATTGTATTGATATTTCTAGAAAAAAACTAAAAAAAAATGAAAAATGAAAATGTCCCTAAACTGTTCAAAATAAATCAAAATATTTTGAAAATGTTATCGTGTATAGAAGCTGCAAATATAAACAACCAGTGAAAATTGCATGTACCTACGGTCATTTGTTTTAAAGTTACACCAAAAACCAAATTCAATTTTCTGAAAAATCGATTTTGCGTAAAAATTCCCGTTTTTCCTTAATTTTTCTTTTGTTTTTCTTGGCGCTTTTGAAAAGTACTGGGAATTTTAAATTTAGACCTCCCCAATGCACCAACGATATTCACTTTCCAATCGAACAAGATACTGAAGTCGAAAATCGAAGCATTATTTCGACTACTTATCGTGTACACAGATACAAAAAAAATAAAAAATAAAATAAAAAAAAAAACACATCATTGTAAAATCAATACATTCATCGTTTCACTCAGAATCTAAAACACACATCATTGTAAAATCAATACATTCATCGTTTCACTCAGAATCTAAAATATTGTCTATTTACTTAAAACCAAAAATTTTATTTTTTGGTGTAACTCGAAAACTAAAAACCGAAGAAAATTTAAGTTTTCACCAAATATTTATATGAATATTTTCAATAAATTACATTTTGGAAAATTTTTACTTTTTTTGAGTTAGTTATAGCCTTGAGAAATTGTTTTAAAACTATAGATTATTTTAAATTAAAATTTTTTTTTTGTTTAAGCCCGAATTTTTGTCTGCTGACTTTAAAAATTATTGCAAAAAAAGTTTTTGAGGTGTGTATTGAAAAAGATAATAGGGGCCTCAATATTTTGGTTTTGCACCACAGGCCTCAAGTAGCCTAGTTACGGCACTGACTAATAGACCGAAAATCCAGGCGGGATGCGGGTGGGTGGTGCGGCCTGTGCTACAGTGATATATATATATATTATATACAGTAATATACAGAGTATTGTATCATCTAGTGCGCATGTGCGGTGTACGGTGTACTACCTTGATCAGCGCCGAATATTAATAGTTTTAATTTGTAAACATTAGTATGCATTATTAGTAATATTTATTACACTTTGTTTCTACTTTCTACAATTACTTGGCCATCAATTATTAAAGTATTAACAAGTTCGTATTAAGTAGGTACTTACTGGCTACTTAGTGTCAGTTTTTCAAAACTATATGGACCCAGACACCCAGTGGCCAGTACCCACCCACCAATTGTAGGTGGTGCAAATGCGTAATAAGTACGTGTTCGGCGCCACTGTTTATACCCCATCTAATTTGTTTATTACATTCATTAATCCAGTGAGGATTTGTATACGACGTATACAGAAAAGTAATACGACGTTCATAATCTGTTGGCTGGAGTTGCTGAACACGAGTCGATAAGTAAGCATGATATTTATACTTTTTAGAAATTCTTTGAACAGCAGAATATGATAAATTTAAATCTTCTAAAAAAATATAAAATTATTGAAAATGTATATTATATTATATTATATTATTGTTTATTAAAATTTATTTATTTTTTAGGTTTACTTGCTACAACTCTTAATGATATATGCGGGCTTTCAATCAATTTGCATAATACTTCCAATGAATTATTATCAGTTGTCACAGTATTTCGTCTTTTTTTTTTTTGCCATAAATGTACCATTCATACTGAGTTGTTTATTAATTCTATAAAACATTGAATGACCTGGACACTGGCGATCAGCATAACGCTGCTGATACAACCTATAAATGCATATTATACTTATTTTTCTCATTATACTGTATTTAATTTTATAAGAAGTACATAATTTGTATGTAAAATATAAGTGTGAAAATCATAATGAAGTTTTTTTT